TATAGCGCGTAAATGTCTTCACTGATTATTATTTACTTTTTAACTTGGAAACATTTATCTTATTTTTTTAAATGTGGTCTTCAAAGTTTTTGCAACTTTCATTCTAGTAAAGAATTAGTTATCTACTTTCTGTGCATAGGTATTTATCACTTACCCAATTGTGTTTTTTTTCCCCCTTCCTTAAAAACTGTTGGCTAGCAGCTTACTATTCATAACTGTTGGAGTAAAGTTTTAGTTTACTTCATCTGATATAGAGGACCATAATGCTCTTGAGTTTTATATTTGATAAATCCGTAAATAAATGTTTCCTCCAGTTTATCATCTGTATTTAAGTGCTTTCTCTATTTACTTTAGAATAACAGTTTGGAGAGAGCTGTTGATTGGATCTTTAGTCATGCTGAAGAAATGGAAACTGATTCTGTTGCTGAAACAGAAGTGAAACCTCATTTTCGGGATGGATCTGAAAGTATGTATTAGAAAATAAATTTTTTTTCGACTTTTATAGTATATTTTATATTTACTATCTTTACACGATTGTGGAATCATATAATTTAAAACAAATGCTGTAAACTTTGTCCATTTTTTTTTTTCAATTTGTTTTTTTGTGTGGCTAAATTGCAAAATATTTTGCTTGCACAAATGCTTTTGGGACCATAGTTTTTCTCCTTTAGTAACCTAATTATCCTGATTTTTTTATTTTATTTTCATGTTAGCATGTGAAATGATTTTTTTTTTTTATAAATTTTCTCACAATGTATTTTATGGAATGCAAATTAAACAAGTTTTTTTTTTTCAGGATATAAATTGGTTGCTTTCATAAGTCATATGGGAACCTCAACAGTCTGTGGCCATTATGTTTGCCATATCTTAAAGGAAGGAAGATGGGTCATATTTAATGACAACAAAGTTGCATTGTCTGAGCATCCTCCAAAAGACTTAGCCTATTTATACCTCTACCAAAGAATACCATCGCATTAGGATTCTATTTGACTATTGAACTTAATATAATTTAATTATATTGTGCATATGTAACATTTTCTAAACTAATAATAATTTTTCTAGAGAGTTTATAAAGGTCTGTTTCTTTAATTGTTTTGCTTTTCTACAAATTTTCCGAATTATTTTGACTTCTATTGTCTTTTCATTGATAACTTTTGTTAAACTTGGAATATAAAATTAATAGGATACAGCAAGCTATAGAAATTTGTAACTTTCATTTGCAAAATAATGTAAGCATTTCTAGGAATTAAGAATATTTATAAACCATTAAAACTGATAAGTTTAAAACATAACATATTATTTAGCATTTATGAATTTGCTTTCACTTATAAATTTATTAAAAATTCAAAGTTACTTTTGTGGGGCAGTGTTAGGAAATTTTGTTACCAGCTCGTGGCCAGTTGTAGCATTTTTAATAGTAGTCATAACATGTTGCCACTTTTTCAAAAATTTGAAACTATTAAAAAAGCTATTGATATCATTTATGCAAAACATTTCTAAAAATATGGTAAGCACTACAGTCATATCTAAAATGGAGAAAAATTTCCCTGATCTCTCCAATTAAGTTTGTAAATTCACGTAAAATTTAAGTGTTGTATGTAACATTTTAAACTGATAAAATTTAAAATTTGAGGTTTTAAACTAATAATGCACAGTGCAAATTAAAGTTCATGTTTATTAAAGCATACAAGTATATTCATTTTGAAGTATCAAATAATTGTAACATGTAATAACGTTGAATCATAATGATGAAATTATATAACTTGAATGGCATTGACCGTAAATTAAAGAAAAAAAGTAATATGAACTGAACTTGAATTTAAATGAAAATCTTATAACCAAATTTTTCTGAAATTTTTAATCCGTGTTAATTAACTTTAATGTTCCAGGAATGATTACAGCTTTATTATGTTTTAAATAATACAAGAAGTTGAAATCATTTGTTTTGGAGCACATGGGGCGCATTTTTGGCAAAAAAAAATGTGGCAAGTGACAAACAAATTATATTTTCTCACCATGTGGCAGGTAGTCCTTTAATTTTCCCCTGTAGTCAAGTCACTTTGTTAATTTAATCACCTATTAGGTAGATTATTTTTTTTTTAAAAAAAGTCTTTTGAGCACTTTATTTAGTAGCTTTGCATTTTTTGCTGCACAAAAACTTAAATAGCTTTGACGTTTGAACAAAAAGTATTTCAGAGTGTATATTTCAAATTTATTTAAAATTATATTAATTTTTCTAGAAGAGTTGTTACGTATTTAGAGTGGATAAAATACTACAAAATGTTTTCAAAACTTATAATAGCTAGAATCATAACATTTTTCAATTATTCTGGAAATATAAGACTTAGAGAAATATTATTACCGTTTTTCTGTTATTCCTTTAAAGTTATCAAGTATTAATTTAACAAAATGTTATACTTTTTCTGTTCAATCTTTATTTCATATTGTAAAGATGTTTTCAACAAAATATATATACATTCAGCTATATTTATAATAAAAAATATCGCTTCCTTCCTTAGATATTTGTATTTTCTTTTTCCTATTCTGCATTCACCCTAGAATCTTAACGTTTAAATAATAATACTTTTTAAAAATCTTTTCAATTTATATAATATTTAGAGAGAGAAAACTGAAAGAACATGCAAAAAATAATTACACTTAATTTTTCTTCCGCAATTTTATGAGATTGGCAGGAAAATGAGATAAATTACACGGAAACAAGATTCTCCCCACTAAAAATAAAACTCACTCAGTATTCTCTAAATTTCTAATATGAGCATTAATTACTCTAATATCATTTTAATGAAATGCTCTCGTCTAGATTTTTTTTAAATGAAATCCTGTCTTAAAATATTTTGTTTCATTTGAAAATGTAAAAAACTTAATGAAATTTTGGACACAAAGCAAAATGTCAAAAACACTATCAAAATCTTAAAATTTGTGAGATTCCAAAGAAAAATATTACAACTGTATTTTCTAATATATTTTCTAAATAAAAAGTGACTATACAAATTTCTTTTCTTTCAGAAAACTATTTTGTGACATACTTGTAAATAAAAAGGAAACATCAATCAAATTTCATCTATGTAAAAAAATAAATAAATAAACCTTTGAACTTAGAAGCATTTTAAAACCATTCCTAAAAAAGGACTGTGCATTACTGAAATTTATACTGTAATTTAATTAAATTTACTTACTATATTGTAAACAACAAATATTTGAGTTGAACAGGTTTTGGTATTAAAAGTATGTTTTCAATCAATTTCAGTATTAAACTACTGTAAAACTAATTGCTTTATTAATAATTTTGAAAACAAATTTAAATTTTTAGAAATTTCCTAATAGAACTACAATTATACAAGGTCGAAAAATTAATAAAGGAAATAAGCAAACATAGCATTTTTTTAACTTATAATTCAAAATATTAACTGTCACCACATAGCTCTAACTTTTTCCTTCGTCTATCCAAAAGAAAAATATGCTTCTACGCAAGCTTAATTTAAAGTGTGTCAGTTCTGTTGTGAAACGTTTTGTGATTTTTAATACAGTTGTATTAAGCCTTTGCTTCCCTATGTTGAAGATGACTTTATATTATCAGTAAAAGAATACTTACAACTTTAAATAATTAAAATTGCATATGCAAAAAATTAAGTGTAAGTAAGCTCTTACTTATATTTAAATTAAAAAAGTTACTTTTAATATATTGCGTTTTTTAACCAGATAGATAGCTATCGAATATGAAGTATTAGTCATCCAAATTCAATGGAAATTTAATCCTTCAACATCTCCTTTATGGGGAATAATTTCGAAAGGATGGTATAAATCATGAAACAACTACTGTGCCAGATTTTAGGCAGATAATTTCTTAACTTTGAAGAAATGGTGAGTGTACTCTACAATTATGAAGCCTACCATTAACGACAGACCATTGTTGAACGACAGACCATTGTTGAACGTTTCAGAGCAAGGAAACGAACTTATTCCTTTAACCCCAGCTATGTTTCTAAAAGAAGTTGAAGATACTGTACTTCCGGGCTTGAGTCATATAGATGAGACATAAATAAGAATCTGAGATATCAATGTGAGTGATGCTAAGTATTAAGGGAAAGATTTAGAAGAGAATATCTCAGATAGTTATTGCAATGTCCAGTCAAGAACAAGTGTTATGAATCTGAAAAAGTATGGTGGTGGATACTCATGGGAAACAGAACTTTCAAGCCAATGGCCAAAATAATTGAAATTTTTCGTGGTAAAGATGGCTGTGTTTGGTTGGAATTGGTGAATTGAATATGACATTACATATTTTTTTCACTAAATTTCTCTACTCAAGAATTTGATCAAGATTACTGAAAAGAAGAAAATGAAAGTGGATCTGATTCATTTACATCTCGTAAAATTGTGTGAGAACAAGATATAGCAAACTGGAGAAAATTCCTGCTAAGCTATTCAACTGAGATTTTATGTTCATTTTTCTTGGACAAAATTAAAGTGTCTGATAAGTTTTTCAGTTCATCAGGTTTGTTTTTAATAGACCAGTAAGACACTACTAATCAAAGGATGGAAAGAATTATACATTTTGATTGTAAAATTAAGGTCTTTAGAACAGGTTTCATAAGCAGATTACAATATTGTATTATATTGCACCTGTTTAGATGTAGCGATACATTTTACTAACAATCAAAGTGGGCTAAATCTGTGCTCTCCCCTGGGAAAGACTGTCGCGGAGACCCTTTTCCCCGTGAATTTAACTTCCTAGTCGTAGACGTCCAGTAGTAGCCTGATCGTATCGACATAGTTCCCGTTAGAACACGGAAGTCAAGCATCACTGGCTGCGGTCAGTAAGTGGGTGGGTGACCATTTTAATGAACCTGCGTAGGGATCGAGGGTGCATGATATCAGTCCTCGTTAATCTGTTCTACAGTAAGGTGATAGACTTCTTGTACAGGTCACTGGCTTACCAAAGCAGAGAAGTCATCCCCACTGAAGATCTAAATTGTCAAGGCCGGCGCCAGTAGGGGGTCAGGGGGGGCAGGAGCACCCCCGTCGGGCATGGCCAGTTCCCCCATCGGGAAAAATTTAAAGTCTCGTCGGGAAAATAGTCTGGTCACATTTTTTCTTCTAAAAAATGTCAAAAATTCATTTACAAATGCCTAATAAAAATTTTTGTAGTTGACTTTTTATTTATTTATTTTTAAGAATTAGTAACAAAATTTAGTAAAATATATTGTAAATTCTATGTAATTGTAGTTTCACTGCACTACTACTAACTTTGCTCATACATTGTTAAACTAGAGTCGGGATGCGATTAGACATGTGAAATTGAAGACTTTTCGAAGACCCATAGAAATCCTTTCCCCTCAAACACATCTTGATTTTCTTGGAAACTTATCTTTCAAACTGCTATTCTTTTTTCTCCAGAACTGAGGAGGGGATAGATAATCACCC